ACTGTGTTGTCTGGGATTAAAGGACACCCAGTATGATGCGATTATCATGCTCGGCATGAATTAGTACTAACTAGCTCCTCGCAGTCCCACTGGGAGGGAACGGCGTCACACACGAGTTCTCTGTGCCATTATTACGCACGGTGACAATGCCCAAGTCTCCTTTACAACCCTTCTGCAAAGACCACCCGTGTGCAGGCTGCCTTCGTCTCCCGTTTGGCACTTGCCCCTCGGTGCCCAGAGACAGTGGGGCAGGGTGGTTAAGCTAACACTCCACATGCTCACGGACTTGGAGGTGAATCTGGTCTTCCTCACTTAATTTCTGCGACCCTTAGTTTCCATCTCTCAAATGAGTTAGAAGCAAAGATATCTACCTCATGATGTTATCCTGGGTCTCAGTGAAATAACGCAGCTAATGCCATGTGCCAGTAGAGGCAGCAGCAAACACTCATGCAGTAACTCGCCAGATGCCCACAGGGACCCAGGGCATTCCAGCTTTCTTATCCTCATTTTACACATGGGGAAAGCAAGGCCTAGAGATCAGTAACTTGCTCATGATCCTATGAGCTCTCAGTAACAACAGCAGGATTAAAATCCACACCCTTCGTCCTGACTCTTGGATCTTCACCACTGGATGCCCTGCTGCCTTTCAGAACAGAAATGCATGTAATGGATGAGTATCCCCTCTTACTCCTCTCTATTTGCTGAAATATTCATCAGAACAAACCCATGTTTGCTGCAATATTTATTATTTCCTATATCTTACTAGGTAGAAAATCTTATCCAAGGTCATGAAAGTGGGTTGTTTTGATTTTAAGTTTCATTTTGAAGAAACTTTTCAGTGTCTGCCTATTTAGTAACCAAACAAGGTGTATGTGAGGAAAAGCAATTCAAAATGAGTTGCAAAATACTATCAGTATCTATCACTGCAAGGTTAGGTTTTATAAGGAGTTCAGTTATAAAAATAGCTTATGATTTGCTGTGAATGACTGACTTCACCTAATGGGTACATCATCGCCTACTTTAAAATGCTTATTTAGAGAGAAGACAAAACTACAAGAGTCAGCTTCGAAGACATGACTAGTATTAGTACTCTGAAAGCAAACATATATCAAAATGTGTAAAGGCTACCTTCCATCATTTGAGGTTTATGCTTATATTGCCTGAAATGCAATATAAAATGCAAAATAAAATTTTTCCATGAGTAATTTCATCCCTATAATATAAGACACTAGACACATTGCTGCCGAGCAAGAGAAAGGGGGAATACTTCACTGTTTCGTATCAAAATTCCATCCTTTGTTTAGAAAGCAAGGATTTGTTTTCCACATAACATCAACTAAAATGATATAATGGCCTGCATCTTTCTAGATTATCATCCCTTGCTTTAATTCCTGTTCTCCTTGTTTATTTTCTTTCATCTATTTCTAATTTATATTATCTTGCTGTGTTTTATGTATTTGCAAGTCTTGGTCTAAGTCCTTTCTGGAATAAGAAAAGACTAAATAAATGTCCCATGAGCAAGGTATAAGATGAAGTAACATGTCTTTTTCACCTTGATGGGATTAGCAAACAGGTAGGAATAATCCAGTATTTATTACTTTATGTCATTCATGGACTTTTGAGAACTCTTCTGAGTTGAATATCTGAATAGAAAAAGTAGTTATTACAGTAGGCTGGGTAGCGGCAGGCCAGGACATCAAGTTCTAATCTGTAGGGCATGTAAATGTTCATGTATACGGAAACGTGCCCTTCACAGATGCGACTGCATTAGGGATCTCAAGATGAGGAAATTATCCTGGATTAATGCCATCACAAGGTTCCCCATAAGAGAGGCAGAGGGTAACTTGGGGCAGACAGAGAGGGAGCAATAACCTCGGAGGCAGAGACGATGATGTTATGGCCATCAGGAGCGAAGAGGTGAGGGAGAGACTGTCCTGGTGGCTTTGGTGGGAGAGGTCAACCCCTCTCCCCCGCCGACTCCTCAACGTCTGCCCAGTGACAGTGACTTCGCTCTTCTGACGTCCAGAAGAGGGAGATACATTTCTGCTCTTTTTAGCCACCAAGTTTGTGCTAATTTGGAACAGCAACCACGGGAATTTGAATATTAGCTGTTAACTTGAATATTTACAAGGGTTAAATGAAGAGAAAGTTTGCCTTTGAACAGTAAAGATTTTGTGCAAGCCAAAAACAAGGAAGAGCTATTTCCATTTAGAATAATAAAATATGGAAAGATGGTTTAAAGGAGCAGGAGGTTTTATTTTACAGGACTGCCACATGTCTCAGGAAAAGGCTACATTCGTACCCAGACTCTCTCAGGATGTTACTTGACTCACCCTGGGGTCCTAATCCAGTAAACTCACCATAAGTCGAAACTGTCACAAACCGGACACGAATGTAACCCACCTAAAATTCCAAACATCACAGCTTGCTCTAGACTGTAGACTGTCAGGCATTGCCCCCAGTGATTCCAGCCCACAAATCGTAGGTGGACCCGTCCTATTTCGGAAACTACGTGCACTTCAGTTGTACGAAAGCGAAATGCGCTGTCTTCCCAAGCGCTTCCCTCTCAGCCCTCTCCGTCCTGGCCCCTTCCAGGGAATTGTTCCACGTGTGCTCGGCCCTACCAACTGCCTAGAACGTCTTCCTGTTTTGCTGGAAGAAATCTATTCTTCCACAAAGGCAAAGAACAGACTGCATTTCCAGACTTTTACGCATGGGAAAATGCCGAGGAGCTGCCTCTGTGTTCACTAAGCCACCTTTGCAAATGACGTCCAGACCACCTTGGTGGAGCAGGGAGCATCTGGTGGGCAGACGCTGCTTGACCTCAAGCAGCTTTGCTTTTCTCTAGATTAAGAGGCAAAAGGAGAAGAGAGGCAGAGATAAACCATCCCGGCTCTACATAATTCTGAATTAAACCACACTGGAGGTAGACATCTATACCTTGGAAATTGCAGGACTACCTTAGAAGCTAAGATGCAAGCATTCACTTAGTTCTCTCTTGCCAGGAAAGTTCCATCCAATCCCCTTGTAAAAGTCCTTTTTTATATTCCTCCACACTGGCAGAAGTTCAGACAGAGCTTAAAGTTTCGTAAACGTTTGTAACTATCCCTCTTCCCCGCCCCTTACTTTTGAATTTAGAAAGCAAAGTAGGAGCCCCCAATTTTAATGGCTCCCCATGTCCTCATGCCAATTGATCCAAAACCTATATAGAAGTGTGTGGCAGTCTCCGTACAGTTACTGTACACTTAGGAGGGAGGGGGAAGCAAGAAGGGGTAGAGAGAACGGCGATCCACATAACGAAGGGAGAATCCTCCAACACCAAACTGCTCCAGGCGCTGAGGTAGAAGGGAAAAGCGCCTCACCCCGACCCCGGACCAGCCAGGGTGGGCTTTGGTGGGGCAGGAACGGGATCTGCTCAGAGAGCTGAGTAATTTCCACCTGAAGTGAAAGGGCGCAAGGAGGCCCAGCAGAAGCCAGGGCAGCTTCCCGCTCGCTCCGGCGCTCAGCACCTCTTCCTGCCTACCCTTAACAAGCAGCCAGCCGTGTTACACTCTATTTCCCAAACAGCTGTCGGATTGATGTCTGCCTCTTCCTCTACCCTACGTTCGGGACACAGAAATCGAGTCTGTTTTTCCTCTTCCTAGCCTCATGCTTGGCAAAGCAATACACTGAAATATTTCCTCACGAGTAGAGCAAACAAATTCAGAGAACCAGAGACGCCAGCGTTCGCAGCCTGTCCTTTCCCTGGCTTCAGACCGGAAGGGATGTTTTCTGTCCACCCTAGTTCTCCAACTCCACTGCCCAGTAGCCCATTCGGGCCAGGCCCCAGACTGAGGCTCGGTGTGGGCCGGGCCAGGGGCCTCCAAGGCTGCTGTCTCCACACCCAGGGCTCGGCACCCTCAGATTCAACAACCAACAACCGCGCATGGGAAGTATTCAGAAAATACTCCCTCTGGGCAGGGGCAGAATTTCTCCCCTGACATCATTTCCTAGACCACACAGGACAACAGCCATGCCGCGGTCTTCGCACCGTGTAAGCGTCCTAAGCAACCTAGAGAAGGCTCGGAGCGCACGGGAGGATGTGGGTCCACACGCAGCCACCCCGCGCTCTGCAGGAGGCCGAGCACCGTGGATCTCCAATGCCCCGGACACGGAGGACAGATGACTTCATCCCCCGGCCCATCCGCAAGGCACGGCCCGGGAGCCCCACCTCTGTACTGGAATTGGACCCGGCACCAAGATTCTCTGCTCTCCAAGCTGTGTGCAGCGTGACTTTCTCTCGGAGCGCAGCTCCTCAGCGGCCATCCCCGGTCCGCGTGGGATCTGGACTTGGGCCCAAGTTCTCTTGCTCACTCCGAGACCCCAGGGCCCAGCCCGCGTCCCGAGTGAATAAAGTCTCCCTCGAAGAGTAAGGCGGCCGGGTAACTTTCCTGTCCCCCGCGACCCCGGCCCCGTCGCTGTCCCCCGTTTGGACACCGAGGGGAAATCTGGCCGGCCCGTGCGGGGAGCCGGCCCGGAGGGTTGGGGGTTTGGGGTTCGGCTCGGCCGGGTTTGCACGGAGGTGCGAGGGGTCCTCGCCGTGAGACCCGCGGCTCCGGGGCGGGGCGGGTCCGCCCGCCTGCGCTCGGCCACGCGCGCCCAAGTAACGGGGGCCGCGTCCTCTCCTGAGCAGGGCGCCCTCGGGTACCCCAGCCGGGCCCAGCGCGACCCGGGACAGAGGCCCCCCGGGGAGGCCGCGGCTGGCCGATCGCGGGAACCCGCGGCGCGCGTCCGTGTCCCGGCGCGGGGCTGCGGCCGAGCCCGCGTGGGGGACGGGGTCCCGGGCCCGCGCACCCCAGGTTCGGAGCCCGAGCTGCACGAGAGGTCGGGGCGCCCCGTGCCCACCCCGCCACCCCGAGCGGGTTCGCCCAGCCCGGGCGCGGGCCGTCGGGCGCAGGAGGGCGCCGCTCCCGTCCCGGAGCGAAGTTAGCCGGGCCGGGCCGACCGGGCCCCACGCTCACCTCGGGCCTGCGCCTCCATGGTGCCGGCGGCCAGCGGCGCGGGGACGCGGGCTGGAGCGGGGCGCGGTGCCCGAATCGCCGCTCCCGCTCTCGGGGCGCGGGGAGGCAACCGCGGCCGCCGCCTCCGCTTCCTCCGCCCCCCGGGCCGCCGGGTCCCGCGCGCGGCGGCTCGCCAGCGCCACCTGCCGGCCGCGGAGCGCAGAGCCGGGAGGCTGGGCCTCGCTGGAGTCCGCGTCGCTCGTCAGCGCCCGGGCTGTTCGAAGGGCGCTTCTGTTTGAAGATCTCCGAGCCGGGTGATCACCACCGGGCCGCCTGCGGCAGTGCAGAACAGAGAGCACCGCGCCTGTGCAGGCGCTGGCACTTCTGCTCTCTGAGGTGCTCTGGAGGCTTCGCGCACCCGGGAGCGAGGGACGGCAGCCAGCGCCGTGCACCAGGAGCCTCAGACAGCAGAATCACCGCAAGCGCACAGCGCACAGGGGTCCGCTCAGGGGCCGGGAGAAGGCCGGTCTTGTCGGAGAGCTGAGCCGGAGCTGCGGTGCTGTCCGACTTCAGGGGCCTGGGGTCCCCGGGGACCTTTGTCCAGGCGCCCAAGACGGGGAGCGGAGGCGCTGGTTGGTATCGGGCATCTCCCTGAGCAGGACCCACACAGCTGGCGGGCGCACGCGGCAGCACTAGCTGTGTGTGTGCTTCTGGCCCCGAGCCTGCTCTGGAAGCCCTCATCCGGCCAAGGCTGCCTGAGCTTCGCCTTTCCCCGGCATCTGCCCAAGCCTCACCTGCGGATCACCGTGTGGGATCCACTTTCATCTGGTCTTGGACTGCTTGCCATTTAGCGGGAGGTGTTTTCTTTCTCTCGTAAAACAGACCCTAAAGAGCCCTAGGCCCGAGGGTGGGTGTTGTATTTTGCCTCCCGTAATCTCTGCCCAGGAGCCTTGGACAAATGCACAGCTCAGAACTCACCTGTTGAGTAAACAGCGGACCAGTTATACTTTATCCAGGTCCAAGTTACTCTCAAGTTTAGACGAATCAAAATTAATGGAGTTTTACTCTTTGCTTGAAAAAATGCTCACAGCTTCACGCACGTGTACACAAATGTCCGTGTTTTTTTTGTATGTGAAACGCTGAGCACAGGACTTTTGAGTGACTCATGGTGACAGCGACCAGGAATGCGAGGACTGAGTGGTCCGGCGCCGATCTGTTCAGCTGTCTCGCTCCTCTTAACCCTGGAAATTCAACACGGGTTAGGCTGACCCCCCCACTGTTAGAATGAGCTAGAAATAGCAAGTGACTTCTCAGCTTGAGTCATCCGACCTCCACCTACACTGTGACTCATTTTCCTGATTTATAAAAGTGAAAGCTACTACCCTTCTAATATTTTTAGTCATGTTTATAATCATAAGCTATCGGGATTCATTCAGAAACCATTTCTAAACATCTTCAGTGTGCCCCAGATTGTGTTAGATGCTAAGGATTCCGATAAGGCCGTGAATTTTAACCTCAAACTGTGGTTCGGCCTCTGGACACTACTGAAACCAACGTGGAACAAAAAGGCAGAGTTCGCCTTTCTCACCCCTTTGCCCCAGTCCCAGGCAATGCTGAGTCTCCTTCATTTCTTTAGTGCTTACTCCACGGCACCTCCAACGTCTCCTCCTAAGAGATGCTCCACACGGGAAAACAGGCTCGGGCCACCTGTGGGGTCGGTGAGAAGGCAGCTGCGGAGTGGGCAGGGCACGGAGTGACAGGAAGCAGCAGCTGCACGGGGAGAGTGTGTCACTCCAGCCTGTGAGCCTGGCACCCTCCAGCTGCTAGCTTCCCGCTCTGGCATCACCAGCTGTGCCACCCACCGCAGGTGTCTTAGGTGCCCTGAGCCTTGCGTGCTGTGAGAGGTGTGAATTGCTGAACTTTCCCCTCCTGTGCCACTGGGGACCCCATTTCTGAAGCAGTGGCTCCCAGCCCCGTGGACGCCAGCACCCTGTGCAGGACTTTAGCCCATTTCTGACACCTGGGTTCCACCCCCAGACATCTGATCTCCTGTGTTTCTGAAAGCTCTTATGGTAATATTGATATGCTTCCAAGACAGAAAATGACTGTTTTAGAAACTGTCCACACCCAGGATGAAAGGTACTGAGTTCTCAGCTCTTAGTACAACCACGAGGAAATCAGTATGCAGATTCCTCAAAAAATTAAAACTAGAACTTCCACTGGAATCAGCTATTCCCCTTCTAGGAATCTTCCCAAAAGAGTTAAATACATCATATTACAGTGATTGTTTATGGCAGCGCAACTCATAATGGCTAAATCATGGAAGTGGCCCATATATGTCCATCAACAGAAGAAAGGATAAAGAAAATTTGGTACTTCCACACCATGGGCATTTACTCTGCCACACAGAAGGATAAACTTGAGTTATTTGTAGGAAAATGGATGCACCTCGAGACCATGATGTTAAGTGAAGTAAATCAGGCCCACAAGCTTTAATGTGGCATGGTTTCTTTTATATGAGAAACCCAAAGAGAAAATAAAAGATAGATAACAGGAAGTAGGGAGACAGGTCCTTCTCTAAGAGAAAGGGGATGGAGTGATGAAGGGAGGAGAAAGAGGCAGGGAGGGAGGAGAGAATGAGGTGAAAAAAGACTTAAGCTGTATCGTGTGCATGCACCGATTTCCCGGGAGGAATGTGGTCATTAATGTTCTGCAAACGTGGACTAATAAAAAATAAAACATTACCAAAAACTTCAAAAATTAGTGAAGCTGGAACACTTGCCTAAAAGGAGCTGCTACTGAGGCAGTGAGGGAACAGTCCCTGTGGGAGCACAAATGTTCCATACTCACCCCTCAGAATGCTGTGACCACAACACATGGATCACACTATTAAAGCTGAGGGGACAGGTTTGTTTTTCCTAAGTTCCACCAGAATTTCTAAACCTACTCACAGATCAGTAAATTATGGATGACTGTCCAAAGAATTTGGACAGTAAAGGTGTTTCTCGTTTTCATCTAAAGAGATATTTTTAATTGTATCCTGAGTTTACTATAGACTAAAAGATACTCCTTGAAAACTCTCAAATCTATAATCACTTTTCAATGGCAGTTTCCAGAATATATCTAAAATGTATTAGCTATTTATGGTTTCAATGCAGGGTTTTTCAACTTGGCCTTATTGACAATTTTTTTTTTTAACTGCATACCTCTTTGTTGTGTTGTGGGATACTCAGGAACATTACTGGTCTCTTCATTAGAGGTCGCTGACAGGAGTCATGGACATTCCTTGCTTAATGACATAGCTGTGCTTCTGCAACTGGGTCATTAAACGACTTGGTCCCTAAATGAGGAATTGTATACAGTATGCACATTACACTTTTCTGAACAAAGAAATGGTCAAAAGAAACTCCAACTGGATGACTTTGCTTTTATTTGCATAACTCTTACATGCTACTGTAATGTATAACAGAACGTAAAACTACAGTACAGTACAATCAGCAAAAATCACAGCACTGTAGAAGGAGCCACCATAAGGCTGCACTGCTGCTTGCATTCTTTTGTTGTAAGTCTGAATTTGGGTGTAAGTCCAAGTGGAGGGTCATAAGCCTGAACAGTCATTAAAACGGTAGGTCATTGTCTTAGTTACATTTTTCCATTGTTGAGACAAAATACCCAACACCCACAAGTTAAGGGAAAAAGGGTTTATGTAGCTCACAGTTTGTAGAGGTTTTAGGCTGGGTCCAAAGCAGGGTGGCATGGCAGGCAGGTATCACAGAGGAGAAACAGTTCATGGTGAGCAAAGGCACCAAAGCAACAAGGGACAACCACAGCTCTTTCTTATCCAGGCTACTTAGGGCAGGCAGCACTCACACCCTTAATCCTAATGGCCTCGAGCCAAGCACTGCATCAATTCCAGAGTCACACACACTAGATCTAGCCACCTCCAAAAAACCATCACGTATGACCACATGAGCCTTTAGGCGGACATCTAGACAGAAGCCAAAGCATTCATCCCCTGGCCCCTCCCCCTAGACTCATGCACATCTCTTTATGCAAAAGGCATGGAGTCCGTCTCTAAGAGGTGACAAAATCCTGACAGTTTCAGCACTGCTGAAAAGTCCAAGACCCAAGTCTCCTCTGAGATTTAAGGCAAACTCTTAGCTGCAAGCCCCTGTACAAATGAAAAGAAAGTTAAACACTTTTAACATTTGATGGCACAAGATAGACACTTCTATTTTTAAAGTTACAAACAGAAGGACAGCAAGGAATGATAACAAAGCAAGACCCAAATCTCGCAGGGCAAACATCAAATCTCACAGTTTCACTTTCAGCATGCTCTGCAATTTGCAAGTTGTGAACTCCAAAGGGCTTGGGTGGCTCTGTCTGTACAGCACTGCCACTTGCTGTAGCTGATATGGCTTCTCTCTGGGGCCAGCTCTGCTCTCTCTATAGTTTTCCTCAGACAATCCATGTTCTTGGCTTCTCTCAACTTTTGGGATCTCTTTTGCATTGTTTCCCTTGCCCTCTCAGGGGCACACAGCCTTGCCTCCCAGGCCTTCTTCTGAAATCTGGGTGGAAGCCTTCCTGACACCACAACTCCCACAATCTGCATGTGCCTAAAACCAGCACCACGTGGATGATGCCAAGGTCTGCCACCAGCTGGAGCAGTAGCCGGGCTTCCTTCTCTCTTGGCTGTAGGGGTCCAGTGCCTCTGAACCAAATCCTGAAAATAAAGCTTTCCTAGGCCACTGCCATTCTGGAACATGGTCTGGGCTCTCTTTTTAAAGCAAAGTCTTTTACTTTTGCAATTTTAAGACTGTAAAGGCTGGAGTCCTGCTGTTTCATGTGATGTCCTTAGACCATCTTTTTAATTTTTTTTTTTTTTGTGTTTTTTTTTTTTTTTTTTTTTTGCTGCAAGTAAGATCTCTTCTGCTCTATCTTTGCAGTCCACAGACCATTGATTTTTATTTTTTTTGGCCAAACTTACAATGTTTTAAGTCATTCTGTTGGCCCCTTTGGTCTTGATTCTCAACATAGATCTGGCTAGAAGCCCCCAACAGAAGCTATGTCATGGACTCAACATTAGACTTCCTCAAAATTTTTTCTGGAAGATTCATTAGTCTGCCACCCTTAATCTTAGTCTTAGGCAAAGTCTCTGGACATGAGCAAAATGTAGACAAACTTTCTATGAAAGTGTAACACATATTGTCTGGAATCTAACAGCTAATGAGGTGTTTCTTTCCAGCAGAAATATCTCAATCCTGGTCTTTACTGGAAGGATTCCTATCCTTCCTTACTAGAAGGATTTCTATCAGCCTTTTGGTCTTTTGAGCTCTGACCAGAATCTTCCATCAAGTATAACCTAAGGTGTTCCAGCTCTACCTTTTTAGCCAGTATCGCTGAACCTTTACAAACTCTTGTCAAACTCCTGAACCATATGGTCAGGTATAGTCACAGCAACAACCTCACTCCTGGTACCAAATTCTGTATTAGTTACTTTTCTTGTTGAGACAAAATACCCAATATTCACAAGTTAAGGGAGGAAAAGTTTATTTAGCTCACAGTTTCTGCAGATTTTAGTCTATAAGCATCTGGCTCCAAGGCAGGCTGGCAAGGCAGACAGGCATCATAGAAGAGAAAGAGTTCATGATGGGGCAGAAGGTAGCAAAAGCAACAAGGGACAACAACAGTTCTTTCTATCCCTTACATCTTATTCAGCTACTTAGGGTGGGTAGCACTCACACCTTTAATCCTAGTGCCCTTCATCTTAGCATTGCATCATGAATCAATTCCAGCATTGCACAGTCTAGATTTAGCCACCTCTGAAAAAGCCCCACCTATGACCACGTGAGGCTTTGGGGGACATCTAAATGCAAGCCATAACAGTTGTTAAACAAGCAATAGCTGTACAAAGTGGTGACAGTCAACATTGTCCCCCATTTCCTGGAGGGCAAGATTGGCTTCCTTTCTCTTTCAGAGACTCTGGAAAATTAAGAAGGTGCAATCACCCTGTACAGCACTGAAGCTTACAGCAGAGGTCCAGGCAGAAGTCCAGGTAGGGAGGGCTACGTGTTCCTCTTTTCTACCAAGAGATGATCTTGGAATTTCCTCACCCCCTTCATTGTCCTTCCTGAAGACAGAGGAAAGGGCATGAGAAGGGGATGGCAGATGTGGCCATGCATGAGGGAGTACTAAAAGCAGTTCTTCCTCCTGTTTTGATAGTTCCACTCTGGTTCTTCCCATAGAAGGATACATTTAAACTTCAGGTACCTGATGTTCCCACCATGAGTTATTTGGGCCTTTGGGTTGGGGTGTGAGGACCAGAGGCAAAGAATCTGAGCTGCTGGGAGGAAAGGAACCCATGGTTGTAGCAGTAGATGATGGCAAGTGTTTGGTTTTCTTCAATTCCAAACCCTGTAGTTTGCAAAATTGGTTATTTTCAGGGTATTTGCATTTTTTTATTTTTTAAATATATATTCTCCTTAGTTTTTATTGAGTTTCTTTTCCAAAATGTTAAACTCCTCCAGCAGCACTATGGAAATAAAGAAAACAAATGTGTTGGGACTGAAGTTGAGCCAATACAGGACACAGCAGGATGACAGAAATAAGAGAACCCCACTGGGAAAGGCACAGGAAGGAAAGACAAAAGACAGTCCTCTGCCACACAGCCAACTGTGGGGTTTTTCCTCTTTCCTAAAAGATTTGTTTTACCTACTTATTCAAAGATGTAATTTTTTTCCAGCTGCAGGATGGCTTTTTGCTGATTACACCAATGGCTGCCCTTGCGGAGTTTGACCTGTGGATAAATGGATATTACTACATCACCCTCATGAAACAAAAACAGAAAGACATCTCCTGTCAGATTCCTTTAAAAACCCAAATGTATGATTCTGGACTCATTATTTATAAGTGACATTGAAAAATTAGAGAAAGGTTAAATAGAAAACCACAAAGATTATTGATAAGGTACTTAGGAAAAGTTATAGGAAAGAGGAGGCCCTTTTATTTTGGTAAGGAGACATTTAGGTGACCCTTTGATGATGATATGTACATCTATAGTCCATGGCCACAGGATACATCGCAGACTACACTGTAAATGGCACAGAATTGTTTGCTGACTATAATGATGATTTTCTAAATCTTCAACATGACTTTCACACTCTGAATAGTTTAAACTCAGTCTTTATATTGGTAGACAATACAATATAATCATAAAAGCATGCACTGGGTCAAGAAGAACACACAATTATAAGATCAAATTTAATGGCCTGCCCCAGCAGGTAGGCTTTGTCTCAGTTAAGACTTGAGCAAGAAGTCAGCTCTGCTTAGGAATGTGAATAAATTGATGATATTAACTTTTGACTTGGCCAACTATGAAATATAATGAAACCATTTAAATTGGAACTTCTTTATTATATTGCTCATAATTAATAATTATGTAAAAGAATCATTTGGGAATTAAAAATTCTTATAAGCACTATAAACTTTGCTCCTTCCAATCTTCTATGAATAAACTTTTGAATAAAAGCCAGCAAAGAAAATACACTAACAGAATTATGTAGAAAAAAAATTTGTATGAGTTCTCCCAAGAATTTGTTCTTTGGTGGATCAGCCCTCTTCATGAGTAACAGTTGGAGAGAACTCCATTTCTCCTGGGAACATTCCTGCAATAAATGTATAAGCAAATTTGGGTTGGAAAAATTAGTTTGACAAATATATCACATACAGTTCTAAGTTGTAATTAACTCAGGAATTACCTACATTTTAAAATTAATTATATTTTATATTCATTAGTTCTAATCACTCTATGGGACCTTCAACAATGAAACAATGTTAAATAACTGTTATATAGTCAAATGAAATACTTTGAGCAATTAAAGTAAACTAGAGTTACAACTATTTCTATATTTGAATCTCACAAATACAATGTAATCAAAAGAAGCAATTGGCCTAAGATTCCATAAAGTTGGAATCTATGTAAAACAATACTTTATAATAATAATGGATAATGATAGACCTATACCTATATAAAAATCTCAATAGTATAAACAATGTCCAGAATGAAATATATAAAATTCAGCATAATGTGGAGGAAGGAAGGAAATGAAATCAAGTGGAAGGACCCAGAGCCTTGATAATTTCTGTAACGTTTTATAACTCTGATATAAAGATGACAAAAAGATGTCAAGAATTTAATAAAACTGGGTAGTAAACACATGAGATTTGTTTTATACTCTGTGCTTTCCAGTGGTGTTTTTGTAAATTTCATAATTAAATAAAAAATTTACGAGATAGTTGCAGGATTAGATGTAGATCAGAAAAGGATATTTATCAAAACTGAAAGCGAAGGGATTTGAGAAACCCTTAGGAGGTAAAAACAATGAAGACGCGTATTGGATTCTGTGTGGGAAGGGAGCATGAGTGTTGCCAAGTCCATGCAGATTTTAGGCTTGCCCAACCTGAGGGAAGCTGGAATCCTTCACACTGAGCAGGAAAGCATCCAAGCCACAATTCTGTTCTGAGACAGTATGATCCCATTTGCTGACCAAGTGCTAACATTTTAGTGGTACAACCACTTCCGATCCAACCCTCCCGAGGCTCACCAGGGGTATTTAGCTTCGACACAGTAACCTCACTCATGATTCGCTATCCAAAGTCACCTTGAAGTGCAGAAGAACGTTATTCACGAAGCCTTATTTATGGAGAAGTACTGTCATAAAAATGTGCAACACCCCAAAGCTTTATATGTGAATTATTAAATTCAGTGATATACTTACTTAGAGAAACAGTCAATTTTTAAACCTTATGATTCTAATAGCTGGGGGAGGTAGCTCAGCAGCACAGTGTGCTGGGTCCAATCCCTAGCACCAAAAAGACCGGGGAGGGGGCGGGGACAGGAGGGGAGAGAGACAGAGAGAGGTTCTAAGCAGGAAAATAGAATGTAAAAGGCACCACAGAAACATATATAAATGTCTCTAAATAATAAAACCGAGATAAAATTATACAGAAAAATAAATTTCAATCATGTTTAAAGACAGGGAAGCGTTGTTTTTGAAAGACTTATGGAAGCTGATGTGTTAATTAGAGTTGCTTCAGTTAGGAGGGTATGAATGGCCAGGCTTCTGCGTTTTCCCAAGTGCCCTTGAATGAACATGCATTACTTTTCCAATGAATAAAATAGATGTCTAAGTTTTTTAAATTACATTAAGAAAAGGGATGCGTGTGATTTTGGTTGGGCTAAATACACAATACAGTCTATGTGTCCGTTCTTCTCTTACATGTCATTTTAGTTGCCTGCAGCTTTGCTAACATAGACAAGGGCATTCTTGTTTGTGAATCATGAAGGCTACATAAACAGACCGGCCTCCTGTGATCAGTATTGTTCTTCATAATTACCTGAACATGTCACCGGTGATTATTTTTATGAATTTAGAAGATTAAATGGGATGTTCCTTAAGTATTGTTAATCTAGTAGGTGTAAGATCTCATTGGATTTTATTTTGAATATGCATTCTTCAGCATTATAGTGAGATTGCGTACCTGTCCTGTGATTTCTCAGCAGCTCAGTCCCCTCTCTGGCATGGGTCTGTTCAGTTGGCATTTCTGGGTGGCCTGCATATTCTATGTGCCGATCCTGTGTCTGTTATGCATGTTGCAGACATTTTCTCCACTTTGTGGCTTCCCATCTTTCTTTCTCTCTCTGCATCTTTTGCTAAAAAGCCTTTCCAATTTTAATGTGGTGAGTGGATCGGTTTCCCCTTACCTCTTTCCTTTTGTGTAAGAAAACATCCATTACCCTGGAATTACAAATATATTCTTATACATTTTCTTCTAAGGGTCCCAACATTTTGCTTTTCACATTTAAATAATTTTTTGCAACTTAAGTGAATTTAATTTTGCTTACAGAGCAAGGAAGTCTAAGTACGTTTCCCCCCATACTAGGCAGCATCCTATTTATTTATTGCAATTGTTTGAATATGTATACAAGCGTTCTATTCTTTCAGTGTTTGTTCTTCATATTTTCACAGGCCTATCTAAGAAAATCAAAAGTTAAATGATATCTTTATCCTCTTCCTTTATCAGGTAAAGAATTTAAGAAAGCTTTAACACTAGTCACTTCCCATCTTAAATACAATTGTACTCCATTATTTTAGCTCTGTTGTCTTATTTTTATCTTTTGGGTTAAACATCGTTATTGCTTTATGTCATCTTATATTTTTAAAAACTTCACTTTCTTGCATCTCGCCTGGGAATGTTTCATTTTGTATTCATGTGGGTCTTTTAGAAATTTCTTTCCCACTTGTTTCAGAAAGAAAGTTTATTACTAGAGTCTAGACTGTAATTTTATTTCTTTCATGATTTAAAAATCTTATTCTACTGTTTTAAACCAATAATTACTGCAACTGAAAAGCCGCTATCATACTAATTTTATTTCTTTATAAATGCTTCTAAGATTTTCTCTGTTTCTCTGGTGTTGTATTTTGTATTTCCTTCAATACTTGTTAATGCTTGAGTTTCTTTATATTTTTATGCTTGGATTTGTTATCTTCCTCTTTCTTTGGGGCTAAATAATCTTCAATCGTTTGGTGCCAGAGTGTGCGATGACACAAGGTTGGAGAAAAACTGGATAGAGTTAAAGAGGAAACATGAACTGGGATGGCCAATGCTCCTTTGGCAAAAGGCACTGGCCTGTCTTTTCCACCGAATTTTATTATTCATCCATCAGGGTAAAGGTGCACGTATAGATGTGCAGTATGTGAAATTACCATGGAAACCAATGCAGCAAGGCTTTGAAGAAGAGTCAAAGCATTTTTAAATTAGAAGCAAGATAGACAAAATATGTGGTTGTAATTAGAGCACTGTCCGTCAAGCTGTGAAGGCACTGATTGTGGGAATGGAGTCTGGGTGCGATCACTCTGACCTCAGCTACGGATGTTATCTCCTGTCAGCCCCATAGCTTCATGGGTCAGTACTCTGGCCTCGGCTGTGGCTAGCAGGGAGGTCGTGTTAACCTGTGTGCTGCCGCAGTGCTCAGGAGATGCTGCACTGAGTCACTGTAGCTTCAGTCAGACTCGCTTCTTAAAGGAAGCCGACTGAGGGGTTTAACTCTTTGCAGCCTGCACTGCTTACAGAATGTTTTGGGTATCGTCAACATGGTGGGATCTGGGAATCTGGACTGTTGGTTTTTCTCTGTTTATATAATTCTTATTTATGGAAGATAATCTTTCTGCTGCAGCTTCCAGGTATTTCAAGCTTCCTTCTATCTATTCCATCTATTAGTTTCATTTTCTTTTTATTGGTGACATTTATTCAATTCTACCTTCCAGTAACTAATTGTCTCTTTAACTAGGTCTAATCTTCTTTATTCCTTGTATTTAATGTGATGTTTGTACAACTTCAATGTATGATGTAGTTTTTATAGTTCTATATTTACACGTAATAGAGCACAGCACATCCCTCATTTCTAAAAGTTCAGTCTGGTTCTTTAAAAAACCATCTACTTTTCATCATCTGCTGCTCCGGAGTTATATTCAGTTCCTATGGTTGCAGAAACAAATTGACCCAAGCATCGTGGCTTAAAGCACTGAAAAGTCTGCTGTTGCCTTCACCGAGGCCGGAAGTTTAAAATCAGCGTCTGCACTGGCGTCCCGCAGGGCACAGGCCGCAGTTCCTCTGAGGCTGGCGAGAACCCGACCCTTGATTTTCTAGCTTCTGGTGGCGGCCAGCCTTCCACTCTGGTGTGCTTACTCTCCTCCGAGGTTTCCTGGCGGCTTTACCATCCTGACTTCCTCCTTT